ATGGGCTCGGGAATGGCAGCCGCCATGGGCGTGCCGCAGAGAGAGAGAGAGAGAGAGAGAGAAGCCGTGCACGTCAGAGGTGCATTGGCAAAAAAACAGCGAAATGCGATGCGAAGCCTCCGACGTCGCTGGCTCCATGCACAGGGAAGGCTTGCCAATCTCGTCATGCATACCCTGCGCGCCGCAGAGGTGCGACCATATGTGCGCACCGTGACTTCACGCGCACAGCCGCGCAAGAAGCAGGTCAATGCGCGTTGACGTCGGCGCCACTCCCAGGCGCGCGGCCAATTAGTTATGCAATGCCAGGGCCCCTCGAGGCGACCCCCGACCGTCACGCACTCGGGGATGCGATGGCGCACGGACGTCGCACTGGCCATCGCTTGGACGTCCATTTCCTGTGTTTTTGTTCGGTTTCGTGCGTGGTTTTTCCGCCAAATGATCAAGGATGCTCCTCGTTGGTCCTCGCCGAAGGAAAAACCCACACGTCCGAGCGATGCCAAGCGCACGCAGAACACCTGATTTTACTAAATCGCGCGCACGTGCCGCCCTCGAGCCAAAATGGCAACGGGTCGCACGCGCTGAGCGCGGGGGCGGGGGCGGGGGGGCGGCTCAGGAAAGGCGCGGTGGGAAGGAACAGCCCGCGGCAAGTATTGACCAGATGCCGCGGGATCTCATGGCTCAAGATCGGAGCACATAAATCGCACCAAGAAGGACGACGCCACGAACGCGCGGCGAGTCCCAGAAGCCCTGCTGGCGTAGATGGTCTAAGGGGGCTCCTCTTCCATCCGGGATCTTCTGACCCGGGTCAATCCAGACCCGGGTCAGTCAAGCCTGCAGGATCCTGCAAACTCCTGCAAGATCCTGCACCCAAACCCGGGTCAATGCGAAGGATCCTGCAGGATCCTGCAGGATCCTGAACCCACACCCGGGTCAATGCGACCCTGGCCCTGCAGGATCCTGCAAGATCGGGCGCTCTGGCTGACCCCCGTTTGCATTGACCCCCGTCTCAAGGCTCCCGATTCCAACCCTCTTCTCCCCCGCCGGACATCGGGGGCGGCAAAGAGGGGGGTGTCCAAGAGGGGGGGGTGCAAATCATGACTGGCGGCATGTGCGCGGCCCAGCGGGGGGGCCAGGGACGTAATGAAACAAGAAGAGGCACCACGAAATCTGGGGAAATATCATGGCCCTCGCCATGAGATCCCCCCCCTAGTCATATCACCCCCCTCTTTCCCGCCCCCGAGGACAGGGGCTCCCCCCTCCCCCCGCCCCCCCCCAGGGCCTGGGCGGGGCGCCCCGCGGGCGGCGCATATGCTGGCCAATGGTGGCTCCGGGCAGGCCTCGGAGACCCCGAGATTGACCTCCAGGAGGGCGCAAAAGCCCGAGGCGGCTCACTCTGGCCCTCAAGATGCCTCGAGAGGCCCCAGGACCGCCCCGAGACGGCTCCGAGCGGCCACGGAATCTCCCCAGGAGGCCGCCAAGAGACCCCAAGGCCGCTCCAAGACGGCTCTGGGTGGCCACGGAGCCTCCCCAGGAAGACCACCAGGAGGCCGCGGCCGTTCGAAATCTAGAAATTCGGCGTTGTCTGCCATCTCGCTTTTTCGCTTTCGGCGGCCTCCCGAGGCCTCCAGACAGCTCCAAGAAGGCCCCCGAGGGCCCCGAGAGAAGCCCGAACGAGCCCCGAGACGGCCCCATCAGCGCCCAAGAGCGCCCCAAGAACGCCTCTAAAAGGGCCCCAAGAGGCGATTCGGGCGTTGGCAAACCTGGGTTTAGTGGAACCTGGTTTTGTGATTTGTACCGGGGGCGCCCCCCCGTCCCATTTCCACGAACTGGAACTGCCGTCACCCGAAAAAACACCAGTTACGGCAAACCTGGGGGACCTTGGGCCAGGGGGCCACCCCGAGAATCCTGGGGGCACCTTGGGCCAGGGGTACTTCTAGCAACACCCGAACTGGGGGGCGCCCCCCCGCCCCGTCCCACGAACCGGAACTGCCGTCACCCGAGAGAACACCAGCTCTACAGCAGGCCTGGTTTAGTGAATCTGGCCAACTGGGGGGCCCCAGGGGAATACCACTAACCGGGTCCCCTTACCCAGGGTCCCGGCTATACCCGAGCGATGTTTGGTAAAACAGGGCTAGGATCGGGATAAATCGCTCCAGAGCGTTCCGGAGCGCTCTCAGAGCGTTCGGGAACGCTCTGGAGCGGCCGCGGCGCCCAATACATCCTCCAAACCCGCCGCCGATTCTCAGAGATTTCGAGTTATCCCGATCCGATTTTGTCCCGATCATCGCGTCGTTTTATTTGGGCCCCCGGGGGGGGGGGGGCGCCGGTCCGCAAGTCGCCTGCGACGCCGGCCGCGTGGGCAGAGAGCCCTGGAAGCCGGGGGCCGCCGTCGACCCGCCCGCGGACGTCGCCGCGCGGTCGATGCTCCAGGTTGGCAGAGCAAGACTATGGCCAGAAGCATGACCCATACACTCTGCGAAATGCTTAAGAAATCATGGGTTCAAAAATTCATAGTCTCAGAATTTGAACACAAACCCCCAATTTCTACTAAAAAGTTTGGTTTTCCATTGAAACAAGAATAATCAAGACTCTGGCCGAAACCTCACGTTTTCTTGAGCATCGCCTAGGGTGTACGACCACCCTGCGGGTGAGAAAGAGGTCGGGGGGGAGGGGGCCAGCAGTGGGCAACAATGGTGATTGTTGTTCTGGCGATGCCAGTGGAGATCGTTGCGTCGCCGCTCGCTCTTGGAGAACCATACAGCACAGGATGTGGATGTGCCTGACGATTTGCATTTGCATTTGCTTATCGATATGCATGTCAATATGCTTTTCGATCTGCATTTCGATATGCATTTCGATGTGCATCTCACTATCGGTTTCACGATCGATCCCACGATCGATATCACGATCGACCTTACTATCGATCTCACTCGATCGATCACACGATCGGTCTCACTCGATCGATTTCAATATCGATATCACCCTCGATCGATCCAACTATCAATCTCACTGTCGATACCATTCCATGGATCTCGCTATCGATCGATAGCACTATCGATCTCACTATCGATATCACTATCGATCTCTCTATCGATCTCACTCGATTGATATAACGATCGATTTTCCCCAATCGATCTCACCACAGATCCCACTATCGCTCTCAGTATCGGTCCAACAATCGAGCTTACCATCGATCTCACTCGATCAATCTCACTATCGATTTCACAATCGATCTTACAATCGATCTCACTATCGGTCTCACTACCGTTTTCGCACCAGCGGGACACCAGGACACCAGCGGGACACCGGCGGGACACCGGCGGGACACCGCGCGGCACCGTTTGCATGTCGGGAAACATTTGGTCCGGCCGCGCCTCAGCCACAGGAGACTTACCAGGACACCAGCGGTGCGCCGGTGGGACACCGGCGGGGCACCGCGCGGCCCCGTTTGCCGGGGGGGGGAACTCATGTGGCCCGGCCGCGCCGCAGCCACGGGAGACGTTTCCTCTCGCCCGACCCCGCGCAGCTGCGCCCCGCCCGCGCGCACGGCACGCGCAGGCACGAGGCCGAAGCCGGTTTCCCGGTGGGGGGCTCTCCGTTCCACTAGGCGGAGGAGGAGGAGGAGGAGGAGGAGGAGGAGGTAACCTCCGAACCTTCCAAAGTGTAGGGTCTGCTCCATGAATCTCGTCATTTTGTTTCACAAACTGCCGTTTCTCTTTCATGAGTTAGTGAGGGGGTCTCCTACAGCGACCATTAGCAGGCCATGGCTGTTAACTTCTTGGCCCGCGGAATGAAAACACAAAAAACAGATTTGACAGACGAAGCGCGTTGAAATTTTCAAAATTCCGCCGAGCACTGATTTTTGCACGGCCTGTTTTGCCGTCGGCTGCTTTGCAGTATTCAGAATTCCACGGGGCATTGACTTTTGCCAGGCATGTTTTGCCATGGGGCGGCGTGTCATCGATTCAAAAGCGGGGAACCCCAGGCGATGCTCATTGGTACAACGCCCAGAGGGTTTCCGAAAAAAACAACGCACATGTTGGATTTGGCGCGCGGCGTACGCGAGTGAGAAAGCAGCCGCTTCTCTAGGGCAGCGCGCGCCTTGAGGGGACGCAAGCTTCAACGTGCGAGCGCGTCCACCGCGCAAGCGCAAACGCTACGAACGACGGGAAAAATCGTCCGCTGCACGGCGATGCGCACACCTGTCGCGACATCACTCGAGAGCGTCGCAATCACATTTATTTCCGTCCAACTTTGAAGACGGCGCTGCGTAACCAAAGCGCGCGCGGGCGCGCCAAAATCGAAGCAAACACGCACGCGCACACGCACGCACGCGCACACACACACATACACACACACACACGCGCGCACACACACACACGCACGTGCACGTAGCGAGCCAATCTTTTGAGCTGCGACGGGTACAAGCTAGACAAGGGCGCGGCTAACATAATTGACGGCAGCGCTTGCCTCCACGGCGCGTCTCGACTCGGCAGGACGCCGCGTGCCAGGACCGAACCGCCGATGGATCACCGATGCCTCCGGCCGAAGCGCACTGCGTGCAGCACGGATGCGCCTCGAGTAGCGGAAGATCGCGCCTCTCTCCGTGCGAAGTGCGCCTACAGTAGGATCGTGCGGCGTCGGCGCGAACACAGGCTGCTGACGCCGCGTTGTTCGTGCAGCTTTGGTTCAGTCGTCGCCCCGGTTGTGCAGCGTTTAGAGGCCTCCGAGATGGGGTCGGAGTACATGGTGTCGGAGGATCGCGCCGCATCGGCGATGCATCGGCGATGCATCAGCGATGCATCGGCGATGCATCGGCGATGCACCGACGATGCATCGCCGACGTCGGCTACGCATCGGCGACGTCGGCGTGGAGAAACTCGGGCTCCGCATCGAGCCGCATCGGCGATGTATCGCCGATGCGGCGCGACCCTCCGACCCCATCTACTCCGACCCCATTTGGGAGGCCTAGAGCGTTGGCTTCTGTCGGGCCCAGTGACGTCGCCGTGTCCCTTGGTGCTTCCACGTCGCAGAATTTGACCTCGAATGCCTTCGCCAGTGCCGCCGGCGCGCCCACGCCGCGTGAGCCTGCCGTGTCGTCGCCTCCCTCGGCGCTCCCGCGCAGTCCCTCCTGGAAAGTCGGGAGCGGCCAAGAGGGGGGTGTCCTCCTGCTCCTCCTCCTCCTCCTCCTCCTCCTCCTCCTCCTCCTCCTCCTCCTCCTCCTCCTCCTCCTACTCCTCCCTCGTGCTCCTTCTTCTCCCCCTCCCCCTCCTCCTCCTCCTCCTCCTCCTCCTCCTCCTCCTCCTCCTCCTGCTAAAGAGGGGGGGGTCCTCCTGCTAAAGAGGGGGGGGTGCAAATCATGGCCGGCGGCATGTGCGCGGCCCCAGAGGGGGGGGCCAGGTACGTATCGAAACAGGAAGAGGCGCCATGAAACCTGGGGAGATATCGTGGCCCCCGCCATGAGATCCACCCCCCCCTGGTCATCACCCCCCTCTTTGCCGCCCCCGAGAAAGGGGCTACTTCTCGCTCGGGCCAGGCCGCGCGGCGCGGGCACCTTCTCGCGCCCCCTACGGGTTGCCACAGCTCGATCGGCGCCGCACCCTCCGAATCTTTGCCCGGCCCTCCCCCCTCCCTCCACGCGCACACACTCACACTCACACACACGCACACGCACACGCACACGCACACGCACACACACACACACACACGCACGCACACGCACACGCACACGCACACGCACACGCACACGCACACGCACACGCACACGCACACGCACACGCACACGCACACGCACGCACGAAAACACAAACACAGACACACACAAACTTGTTTGGCGTCGCGACATCTTGTCGACTCTTGCGAATCGACGCTAAGTTGACGCTAATCGACGCGAAATCGACGCTACATCGACGCTAGCCGACGCTACATCGGCGCTCCCACCGACTCTCAGACGCTGTTCGACGCGACGCCGAAAACGGAATCGAGAGGGGTACACCCGGCTCGCATGACTGGCCACCGAAGGAGACGCCAACACGGTAATTACGGTGCACACGAGCCGTCCGCAGAGACCGTTGACCCTGAAGGGCCTGTCCTCGTCCTCCTCCTCGTCCTCGTCCTCCTCCTCCTCCTCGTCCTCGTCCTCCTCCTCCTCCTCCTCCTTGTCCTCCTCCGCCTCCTCCTCCTCCTCGTCCTCCTCCTCCTCCTCCTCCTCCTCCTCCTCTTATTATTATTATTAGTAGTAGTATTGTTGTGATGTTTGTTTTTATGTTTATTCTTCTTCTTCTTAATATCATTATTCTGAATATGTTTCTTCTTCTTCTTCCTCCTCCTCCTCCTCCTCCTCCTCCTCCTCCTCCTCCTCCCTCCTCCCTCCTCCTCCTCCTCCCTCCTCCTCCTCCTCCTCCTCCTCCTCCTCCTCCTCCTCCTCCTCCTCCTCCTCCTCCCCCCCCCTTCCGGCCAGCGGTCCTGCGAGGGCCACCGGTCCCCGGGCCCTCGGGGCGCCGCGGGCACCGCCGCGCATCGCAGCCCTGCGGCGGGTTTTGCAGAGGTGCTCGCGTTGCGGCTGCCACGACCATGGACACCAAGGGCTCCTAAGTTCGCGCTTCGCGCTGCGCGAAGCGCGAAGCGCGAATAGCTTCGCGCTCTCGCGCCGCCCCCCAAGGGGGAGAAGAGGAGGACGAGGAGGAGGAGGAGAAGGAACGAGGACCGCGAAGCGCGAATAACTTCGCGCCCTCGAGGGAGCCCTTGGGACACCCTCACAGTGCTATCATCGAATTAAGCATGTGATTCAAATGTCGGGCAACTGTCGTGGGAATGGTCAAAACCTGTGTTTGACATGTCTGAGACAATTCTAACACATGTTCTGGACACCTGGGAATTGTTTGGCAACCTGCTTCCTCTCCATTGATCGTCCTCCACACTTCTCGCGTCGGGAGAGGTACCCATGCCGTTGCCCGCGCCCCGATTTTTGCACTTTGTGGCCTCCTCGGACGCCCTCGTCGCCACCGCCGGGGTCGGATCGAGATGCTGGTCAGAACGCACCCCGGGAGAGGGGAGTAGCGGTATTGGCACGGCTGGTTTTCCCCACGACGGGGGGTGTTTGGCCGTGTTCGGCCGCTGCTGGGATCCGCGCGGAAATACTAAAAAGATCGGGCGGGACTATCAATGGATGCCGAGGCGGATTAAGTCTGGCCTGACCTAACTTACATGTGCGTCACAAATGCCTCAGGCGGTTTACGGGAATTCTGGATCCGGTCATCTATCGCCCAAGCCACTGTCCGAACTGTAAACAACTTCTCAGCTAGGTCAAACCAGATATCCGCCACCGTGCCTCCTGGCACGCTGGTGCGTGGAGGAATGCCAAGACCTGTCTGGTAGGATACTTTGAATTCGGATAAAGGACCCCATCCCCCTAATCGCGGACTGTCGCGTGCATCCCCCCTACTCACCGAAGCCACATCCTTTGTGCCCGCTCGAGGATGGTGCCCCTCCAACATGGCAGTTCATGCATAGTCCCCCATCCCACGCGTGCCCGCTCGAGGAATGTGCACTTCCCGCATGGCAACCACTGCCTGAATCATCATGCCATACGCGCGTTTTCGCGGAACGTGCAATCCCCGCAAAGCAACTGCTGCCCAGCCACCCCTGCCACGCGTACCCGCCCGAGGATGGTGCGGTTCCCGCATGACAACGAATGCCTGAACCCTCATTCCATGCGCGCCTGTTCGAAGACTGCGCCATTCCCGTTTGGCTGCTCCATCGTAGACGTTCCGTTCACGCGCACCCGCTCAAGGATCATGCACGCCACGCGTTCCCAGGCACCGCTCCCAAGCGCCCCAGGGCCGTCGAAGCCACGGTCCCTCGTTAAAAAACAACGGATACGCGCCCCGAGATTACAAAACCACCCTCGCAGGCAACCAAAGACACCACGATGGCCCAAAATGCCTCGACGACGGCACGATGTGGCCCCGAGACGTCCGAAGATTGTCTGAAGACGGCCCAGAATGCCTCCACAAGGGCCCCAAATTAGCCTGGCGAAGGACCCAACCATATGCAGCTGTGAGTGCCGCAGTTGGGGCTACGAACCGCATGAAACGGGTGCGCCGACTTGCGCGGCGGGGTAAACAACGACAACGAAGACGACAGGCCGAATTACGAAAGACTGAGCGTGGGTGAGTCTGAACGCCAGTGAGTCTGAGTGTGAATGAGTCTGCGCGCGATTGAGTATGGTTGCACGACTGCGAGCGTGGTCGCGTATGCCGGACCCTGAGCACGAGTGATCTACGCCTGACCCTGAGCGCGCGTGACACTGGGCGTGGCCGCCTCAGGAAGCTTTCCCTGGAACCCCGACAACAACGCCCGCACGCCGCGACGCCTGTGTCGGCACGCTCCTCACGAGGATCGCGCCCGTTTCCTTCCCGTTGTTTTGTCTCCCCGTTTTTGCCCGCGCACGCCCACGTCCACGGCTGCAGGCGCGGCGCCGCACGGAGTCCCCGCGACGCGCGTTGGTCGCCCCGGAGGGGCCCCGGTGACGCGCGCGGGTCGTCCGCTGCGCGGAGCAGAGAGAGCTAGCTGGCTGGCTGATAACGGGCAAGCCGCTGGGCAGAGCGCCGACGGGGGCGAGCGAGGCTCTGGGCAGAGCGCAGCGCGGAACTCCCGCGACGCGCGCTGGTCGCCCCGAGAGGATCCCAACGACGCGCGCGGGTCGCTCGCGGCGCGAGGCCAATTAGTCAGACCGTCGAGAGACGGCGAGGCTCGGGCAGGCCGCTCCTCAGGTCAAGCCTCGCGGATAAACTCGGTAAAGCTCCGCTCCCTGGCGAAGGCCGCCGCATCCCTCCTGCACCGTTTCGTGCGCGTGGCAAACTGCTCCAGCTGTTTCCGCAAGCCTTCTGGCGGCCTTGCCAGAAAGAGCTCTATGCAAACTGCGCCACTGGGACCTGAGGAGGGCTCCGTATTGGGGTCACGAAGCGTGTAAGGGGTGTGCCAAAGTGGGGCGGTGGGCGGCGGCGCAATGCGAGCTGCGCCAGTGAGACCTTAGGTGGAGCTCCCTGTGGGGCCACGAAGCGTGTGAAGGGTGTGCCAAAACGGGGCGGCGGCGCCATGCGTGCTGCGCCATTGGGGCCTTAGGCGGAGCTCCCTATGGGGCCACGAACAATTCGAGGTGTGTCACAAAATGGGGTGGCGGCGCCATGCGAGCTGCGCCGCTGGGACCTTAGAGGTGGAATCCCCTGTTGGGCTACGAAACGTGTGACGGGTGTGCCAAAATGGGGCGGCGGCGCCATGCGAGCTGCGCCATTGGGGTTTTAGGTGGAGCACCCTATGGGGCAACGAAACATGTGAGAGATGTGCCGAAATTGGGCGGCGGCACCATGCGGCCTGTGCCACTGGGGCCGTCCGTGCCAAAATGGAGCGGCGGCGCCATGCGAGCTGCGCCACTGGGAGCTTAGTTCAAGCTCCCTATAGGGCCACTCCACGTGAGAGGGGTGTGCCAAAAATGGGGCGGCGGCGCCATGCGAGCTGCGCCACTGGGGCTTTAGATGGAGGCCCTTATTGGGGCCACGAAACGTGTGAGAGGTGTGCCAAAATGGGGCGGCGGCGCCATGCGAGCTGCGCCACTGGGGCCACGAAACGTGCGAGGGGTGTGCCAAAATGGGGTATCGGCGCCATGCGAGTTGCGTCAGTGAGACCTCAGGGGGGGCGCCCTACGGGGCCAGGAAACGTGCGAATGGGACCTTAGGTGGAACTCCATATGCGGCCACAAAACGTGTGAGCGGAGTGCCAAAATGGGGCGGCGGCACCATGCGAGCTGCGCCACTGGGACGTTAGTTCGAGCTCCCTATGGGGCCACGAAGCATGCGAGGCTACACGAGCTGCCCCACTGGGACCTTAGGTGGAGCTCCCTATGGGGCCACGACGCGTGTGAGGGGTGTGCCAAAATGGGGCGCCGGCGCCATGCGAGCTGCGCCACTGGGGTCTTAGGTGGAGCTTCCTATTCGGGCCACGACGCGTGTGAGGGTTGTGCCAAAATGGGGTGGCGGCGCCATGCGAGCTGCGCCACTGGACCTTAGGTGCAGTTTCCTATGGGGCCACGAAACGTGTGAGGGATGTGCCAAAATGGGGCGGGGGCGCCATGCGAGCTGCGCCACTGGGGCCTTAGGTGGGGCTCCCTATGGGGCCACGAAACGCTGTCCTGGGTGGGTGAATCGCCGGGATGAGAGAGGAGGAGAGGAGAGGAACGCGGGGCACCGTCTCTTCAAAACGAGGACGCAACACCACAGGATGGTTGTGGAAAAAAACCAAAAACCTCAAGACGGCCCAACATGTCCCACGATGGCTGAAGAGGCAAACAAGACTGCTCAAGGGGGTCCCATGGAAACCACTATGGCCTCAACAAGCTGTTCGACGGCGCCAGACGGCGCCAAGACGGCCCAACGGCGGTCCCCGAGTACGTTACGACGGCCCGATGAAGGCCCCAAGCTGCTCCAAAAACTGCATCACATGAAACCCACACTTTTTTAGTCGGCGGGTCGAGAGCCGGCCTCTTCCAGTTAAGAGCTAGGCGGGGCGGGCGAAGCACTAAGTTGGGAGACAGGGCGCGGGCGGGCGGGGCCTCAACGTGAAACCCACACACAAAACAACTGAAGTAAACCCCACGACAACTATACGAAGATGAGACCCGAGACGGCGGACCTGCTAATGTTCCGCACGGCGGCGGCACTCCGCCCTGCAATAAGTGGCGCCAGCATCCAAACCGAAAACGTAAACGAGGCAGGACTGTTGGAGGCACGCATCTTTGACTTCCACAGACCAAACCCAGTAGGGTAGACGGGCCAATGGCACGCAGAAGCCAGCGCGGCAACCAGCGCGAATGCAGAAGCGCACGAAGATACCCAAAGCAGGGCAGCGCAGGCAGTCCACAATAAGAGACTACACAATGTCATCGCTGCTCGGGAAGAACGGCTTCGTAGTCCACTGCTCGGGAGGGACGTGTTCGCATTCCATCCCTCAGACCTGCAGCCAGAAAATTATCCTGGCGAAGGACCCAACCGTATGAAGTTGTGGGTACCGCAATTGTGAATATCTTCTTCGGTGAAGCTCCCTATTGGGCCACGAAGCGCTGCGCTGGGCGGGGAGGAACGCATGCGGGCGGTAGCACTGGGGCCGTCGGTGACGCTCCCTATGAGGCCACGAAGCGCTGCACTGGGCGAGTGAAAATACCAAATTCGGCGCGTGGGACGCACGCGGGCGGTCCCATTGGGGGCTTCGGTGGAGCCCCCATGGGGCCGCGAAGCGTTGTAAAGGGTGGGCGAGAATGCCAAATTGGGTGTGGGGGACGCATGCGGGCAGCCCCACTAAGGGCTTCGGTGGGGCTCCCTATGGAGCCACGAAGCGCTGTACTGGGCCGGTGAAAATGTCAAATTGGGTGTGGGGGACGCAGACGCATGCGGGCGGTCCAACTGGAGGCGTCGGCGGAGCTCCCGGTGGGGGACGCATGCGGGCGGTCCCAATGGGGGCTTCGGTGGAGTTCCCTATGGGGCCACGAAGCGCTGTACTGGGCGGGTGAAAATGCCAAATAGGGCATGGTGGACGCATGCGGGCAGTCCCATTGGGGGCTTCGGTGGAGCTCCCTATGGGGCCCCGGAGCGCTGTACTGGGTGGGTGACAATGCCAAATCAGGTGTGGGGGACGCACGCGGACGGTCGTCCCTCCACCCCCCCCGTCCCCTGGCATCGCTCGGACGTGTGCATTTTTCTTTCGGCGAGGACCATCGAGGAGCATCCTTGATCATTTCGGAAAAAAAGCCACGCACGAAACCGAAAAAAACACAGGAAATGGACGTCCGAGCGATGGCCAGGTCCTCCTCTCCCATCGCCGCGGAGGCCCCACCAACCTGCTGGTGGCTGCTCGGTGGTCCCCCGCCTGTCCTCCTCCGTTCGGGGGTGGACAGACCTCCTACCCTGACACGTCTATTAGCGAATTGGCCGTTTTCTGTTCGCAAAAAAAGCGCGTCGCGGCCGTCACTTTTGCGGGTCCAGGTCCGTCGGTTTCGGTCCCAGGCCGTTTTCATTAGGGGGAGGTTTACTAAAGGGAGGTTTGTCCACCGCCGAATCTTGCAGGATTCTGCAAGGCCTGACTGACCTGGGTCTGGATTGACCCCAGGTTAAAAGATCCCCGGAAGAAGGTCCCAAAACAGGCCAAGAGGCCTCCAAGACGGCCCAATAGGTCTTCCGTAGCCATTTCGGCTCAAGCTGCAGCGGCAGCAGCGCCATCGGGGCTGTCACAATTAAGGACATCCTCTGCACAACATATCCAGTTTCCGAACTTTTCTTCGCGACAATGACGCACGGCTTGTATGCGTGCCTTATTGTCTTACTGTTGCCGAGCGTAATTACCTGCGTCCGCTTTTCAAAATCGATTGGGGTCGAGTCTCAGAATGCGCTTGCCTCGTCAAGTGTGCCAGTGGCGCTGGCGACGGAGACGTCGTGCGGCGGCTACGGGTG